GATTACATCAATATACAGTACATAATACATATAATCAAATTAAAAAAATGAATAATATTGTCAAAATTATTAAATATTTACAACTTCAAGTAAAAATTCGTCAAGTGTATAACAGCAATTTGTCGATAAAAATGATTTAAGTTTTTGTTTGAAGGCAATTGGTGACAGTGTCTTTACAATGTTTGGCAATTCATTATAAATACTTTTCATATCTTGTATAGAGATTTTTTCGAGTTGTGAGCATATAGTTTTTTCTAGTAATATATTTATGTACTTCCGATCGTAGGTCGAAGTACCTTTTATTTTCATGAATATGTCATGAGTTTTAAAATAAATATACTTGCCACAGTCAATATTTTATTCTCTTGAAATATTCCTCTACGCGACATTCTGTAATCAAGGTTAAAAATTAATTGAAGCAGTGCCTTTTGTTTTACGAATATTCTGTCAATTTCAATCGCTAATCCCCAGACAGCAAAATTTTGCGTAATAAACCGTTAGTTCCTAAAAACTTTGTACAAATTGTTGATCTCAGCGATTCGTTGAGAAAATTGAAGGTGAAGTTATTTAGACTCCGAGGAGAATATGCAAATTCAATACAAATAGTCTTATTGACTCTAACAATCAATCTGTTTTCAAAACACCACTCACTGAATTCTTGCAATACAGTGTTGACTTGGGTATTCATTTCACCCTGTGTTTTGCTCGATGAGATGATAGACGTATCATCTGCATAAAAGTACACATTACCGTAACTAATGTTATCAGGAAGATCATTGACATACAGTAAAAATATCAGTGTACCAAGAATACTACCCTGTGGTGTTCCTGTTGCAACAGAATACTCGTCAGATAATGTATTATTCTGTTTCACTTTGAAATATCGATTAGTTAAGAAGGACATGATGAGCCTATTGATATTGCCTCTGATACCAATGTTGAAGAGTTTTTTAGAAATTATTTCAATACTCAAAGTATCGAAAGCTCTACTAAGTCGAAAAAAAGTCCCGCAACGACTTTTTTCTCATTGATTGAATCATGGATTTGTTGAACCAATTTGAGTGTTGCTGTTTCCGTTGAATGATTTTTTCGAAAGCCATGTTGGCACTTGGTCATCAAGTCGAATCTTTCCAGGTAGTCATTTATTCTGCGCGATATAATCTTTTCAAAGATTTTAAAGAAGACGCCGATAATCGATATGGGGCGATAATTCTCTATGTTAGTGCAATCGCCACTTTTCAATATCGGAATCAATAGTGCAATTTTAAGAAGATCGGGATAGCCTCCAAAAGTAATACATAAGTTTATTAGGTGGTCAATTGGTTCACATATAATATCAATACATTCTTTGACAAATTCGATAGAAACCACATCATACCCTGTACTTTTTTATAAGGTAGCGATTCCACAATATTTTTACGTCTACCCCTGTGGCTGGTGGAAAAAACATTGTTGTGTTGGCATTGTAGTTCCCATGCCTAGATGGAAATGTCAATATCTTCAACTACTACAAAATGGCGGAACTTTTAATAATTGCCCGAATATATTGACATTTAACTACATAATGTGAGGTAATAAGCTTGAGTTCAGTTCAGAAGATGCTCGAAATGGTTGCCTTGAACTTCCTGACATATGAACAGCCTATTCGATATTTCACGCCGAACATTTTCGAACACAGTAACGTCAATATCTCTACAAATATTTATTATTTTCTGCCTTATATCCAATATTGCAGCAGGTTCAGTTTCGTACACCTTTTGCTTTAAATAGCCCCATAAAAAAAGTCCAAATGTGTCAAATTTGACGAGCGGGCTGGCCATTCTGTAGGACCTCGACGGCCAATCTAACGACCGGGAAAAGTAGTATTCAAATAGTTTCTTACTTGTCTGGAGTAATGTGATGGTGCTCCATCTTGTTGGAATACAATATCCATATCGAATTCATTAAGATTCGCTTCAACGATTTCAGTGATGAGAGGGTCAACAGTATTCAAATACAGTTCCCCTGTTGGATTTGATCAATAAATAGAGGTCCTACAATATGGTTTCCATATATTCCTGCCCAAACGTTAATTTTTTCTGAATACTGGGTATGTGTTTCCCGGAAAACGTGAGGGTTGGTGTCACTCCAATAACGGCCATTTTGTCTGTGAACATTGTTGTTTAAAAAAATGTACATTCGTCACTAAAACAAATATTGTGGAGATAGGTAGGATGCCCTGCAATGGTTTCCGTCATGATTTCGCAGAATTCTGTTCGTCGATCAGGGTCTTCTTCAGTTAATTGGTGTACCATTTTAATTTTGTATGGATGATACCTATTCCTCTTCATAAGTCTCCACACAGTGGAAGGAGACACCTCACAAACATTCGCGACGCAATAAGTATACTTTTCAGGATTTACTACCATTTCACCAATTATTTGCACTTGCTGTTCTTCCGGAATGGACGAATGTCCATTCCGCGTCACGCCGTAAATAAAAATCGCTTCAATTTTTTCTTCCAATGGACAAGAATTGACCAATTTAGAGATTGTTGACGTGGTACCTTTCTACTAGTAAAACCGAAAACTAAATGAGAATATTCTAACTGAACAATGATGTTCATTGTCGTGCTGACATTTTTTGTCGTTTTTATAAACAAAAAATAACTTAACAAACCTTATCGGGTTGTTGTTTTTCAACTGGATAATTTTTTAAATTTTGACAATCATTTTGAATATATACATAAGAAAATATCGAAAAAACTATATTTTTTCAGTAGAATAGCACAAAATTTTGTCAATGCAGTCCAAAGTAACAGTTTACAATACCATTGTTCAACCACACTTTGATTATTGTGCGTCATTATTATTTTTATTTAACCTCAATAAATTAAATATGCTACAAAAACT